AGAGTTTCTATTTTACATGAAGATGGCCAAGGTGACAGAATATTAGCTGCGTCTCATTTGAGAATAATGGGATAGAATAGATGTTTTTTTGTAAAGTCATATCGCCCCAGCTGTTCAGGATAGTGAACGCAGAGGGAACAAAATTGCCTTAAAATCATTCTCAGTCCTGAGGAAATAAAGTTTCTTCTTGCCAGAAACAATGCAAGAACTCTCTGAATGTGAGGTCACTTGTCCAGAAGTCCTGTAAATATGAAAAGTAGGTACTCTGAGACATGCTTTATACTGACATCAGTGCATCTCCGTGGAGATGTGTAAACATGTGACATGTATGTAACCCTCTCTTTCCAATAGTAAATCTATTTCAGGAGTGCCAGAAAACTAGGTTCATGATGGAAAAAGTGTGAAGCTGGGTGAGAAGAGTAAGTTCATTGTCCTCATTAAAAAAGGTTAGGACAGATGTTCTAATAAAGTAGGACCTGGAAACCTCTGTATGGTTTCAGAAGTAAACTCAATGTTGTTCACTAGCAGGAACCACGCACAACAGTGATGTTGTTAAGTTTATTGAAAGTAACATGTGAAATGATATGAGGGGGGTAAAGGATGATCTGGGAGGACGAGCTGTGGTCCGCTGCAGTGGGAGACTCAGAGGGGGGTTCCGTCTCCGGCATGATCTGCGTGGGCTGATTATGGGCCCCCAGGACGATACGGAATTAAAAATGTTAGTTATATACAGTTATATAAATATGCACAGTTTAAATGAATAAATGTTGACGGCAGAGATTAGGATGTTGAGGGGAGGGAGGGAAGAGGGAAGAAGGGATGGATGGATGTATCGCTCGGTGTGAGTCGGAAGGGAACTGTAATGGGTAGAAGGGAGAGGAGGGTGGGTTGAAAAGATGGAGACAAGCAGTGGCCGGAGGTTTGCCAATATAAATAGGGGTGGCCGTGGTTCGAGGGGGATTTTAGCATGGCCATGCCTCCTGAACCTTATGTTAACAACTTTAACCTCATTATCAGCTGCACATAATTTCCAACAGTAAATCCCTCCCTTTCCAATACATGTATTTTTATTTCATGGTGGGACCTTCCGGTTTTTTCAAGTTTACCATTTTCCTGTCAATTCTTGAGTGTTTATTTGAAAGGAAACTTTAGGGTGGCTCGAGACCTTTCCAAACAACTTATGAAATCCAAAGAGTAGGGAGACCAGGACAGTTGCAACACTTTTGGCTTTCCCCAATACATTTTAAAAAAACATTTTACAAATAAGTGATAGCCATTTTTGCTAGCTATATTATACATTATCAATATGTCAGCTACTTAAACAATGTATTTAAGATGTTTTTATGAAATAAGTACAGGTTGGAAAATGTATTTTTAAAAAACCCTCAACTGTTGCAACTGTCCTTGTGTACAGCTAACCGGTTACCTTTTTTCACACTACATAACTTCATTTGAGGCCCTCTGCAGCAGAGCAAGTAGCACTCCCCTGTCTGTCTTCCTCTTTCTGACATTTGGCAAAGGCCTACTTTAAACACACACACACACACACACACACACACACACACACACACACACACACACACACACACACACACACACACACACACACACACACACACACACACACACACACACTTTAAGCCTACTATACAGTATTTTATTCTGTTTATTTTTACATGGACAATGCACACCAATCAACAATACTACTGTATGCTTGAATGAACAATTGATCATTCAAGCAAATGAGCCATCATTGTAAATGTGCCATGTTACAACCGTCCCGTTACAACCGTCCCAGGACCACCAGTCTTGCTTTCACCCCCTGTGAATCTGCCTGATTGCTTGCTTGACCCATATTTAGCTATTTATATTTGTAGCTTACAAAACGGTGATTCTAATAATGCTAGTTTGGATTCCTAGACATTTGAACTCAAGACACTATCCAAAACATTCATCATATAATTTTAGTTAATATTTTACCTCAGAAACACACTTTTGCTGATATCTTACGCGAGAAATTCAAACTAGGCTCCTTTTTTTTCTCAGCGATCTTACCATCTAACTGCGCATGTGCAGAGTGAGTGTCATCACTCTAGCTTGTTTGTGATTGGAGATATTGAAGGTGTTACAACCGTTACAACCGACCCGTGTTGCAACTGTCCCTGGTCTCCCCTAAATATTGTAATAGACAGTTATTTTCCTCTGATGAGCAAAAGATTAAGAATATAGTTCCCTAACTTTCAGAACTAGAAATAAGTTCAGAAAAGGTCATCATAATGTTTGCTCTTCAGTAATAAAGGTAATTGCATTGATAAGCAGAATACATAACAATATATAAAAGCCATCTAGTGGTGTTTACCTTGATTATATGCTTAAATACATTAATTGATTACACGTTTATTAGATGTATACAAACATATTGAGCTTATACAATGTCATGCTGTATCCCAGACCACTGTGTGAAGAAGAAGAAAATGCAGCACTTCACTTTTCAATGCATGGCATAGATGTACTGATACTTGCTTTATTCCTTTCTGCGCGCAGAATTTGATCTTCATACACGTGTTGATCTGCACAGATGATGAGATATTTAAGTCGACAGCAGCCCCTCAGACGATGTTGAACTCGCACACAGAAGCCTTTTCAGCTCGGCAGCTCTCATCAAACCACTTCCCGTGTGCCGTGGTGGAAAGGAGACCACAGTTCTGGCTGCGCCCTCCGTCCGGCTGCAGGGTGATCTCTGTCTCCCAGTTCTTGAAGCGCACGCTGGAGCCTGATTGGTCCAACCACTGGCCCTCGGTCACCATGTCATTGACGCCCAGCCAGATGGGCTCCTCGGGGCCAATGCTCTGACGTACGTACTGGTAAAGCTGCTCGTTCTCGTCTCCTGTCAGAGGAGTGCTCAGACTGCCTCCCTTGGAGAAGCAGTCTTCGCTGGCTGCATGGAAGGTCTTCTTCACCGGGTCAGACAGGAAACACTTGCCCTGGATTTTGGTGCCTCGCAGACAAACTTAAGAGGAAATCAGGGGTTATTCTTGTCTATTTTGGGCTCTCTACCACTGGAGAGTGTTATAGTTTATTCTATGTTACATCCAACATGTTGTGAAATATATAGCTACTTGATATTATTGAACTGTGAGACAAAAACATTTCTTCTGCTGTGATTCATAAACAGAGCATTTTCCAAAATGGTATGCAAGTCATTAACCATTTATCTGCATGATAAATACCTGTCTGTAAAGCCTGCTGCTCTTTCACCAAATTCAGCTCTTGAACAATTTCAGTGATCTGGTTCTTCAGCTCCTCGATCGCAGCACTGTTTGCGGAGTCTGTTGAAGAGGTCAAAAAAATAACATGCCAAATGTATTCCAAAGTATAATGCATTCAGTCAGTATACATGACACATAGTAGTTCAGTTTTGTTGTTCTCTAAAAGTTCTTCATGGTTTTTAACAAGGACATTTTCAAAGTCAAGTTATTATCCTACCTTTCTTGCTGTTTCTTTTCTTTGAGGAGGTCTGCTGGAGTGTGCAGTGTGCCAGCAGGAGAAGGCAGAACATCAGACAAACCCTTCGAGCATCCATGATATTGGAAGAAATGCTTTTAACTCCACTGTAGAGAAGCTGTTTCTGGTGTAGCAGCACACTTGGAAAGCTCCTTGCAGCTCTGAGGGCTGGCCAGACAAAGGCTGTTGTGTTTTACAAGCCCGGGGTGGCGACACAGAGTTGAAGGAGGAAATCTTATCTGAGAGAGAACAAATGTTTTACAGATGTTTTAACAGACGTTTGTGTTGCTTTTGAAACGCTTAAAGGAGATGGATTGTGAAGCATGACTCAGGTTCCATATGTTTGTAGGTCATCTATCACTTGCAGCAGGGCCTTATCTCTCTGTGGTTGTGGTGTCACATTTTTTTCATAGTCATCATGTCCTTATCAATTATCTGCATCTGTCTGTGCCACTTGAGTGCAACAAATACAGAGCTATAAACAGTTGTGCCTTCTTATCGTTGCCTGCTAATATAAATGGGCTTTTCCTGTTAAAGGTCCTGTTGTGTTTCTGCCTAAGGCTCCTACAGGCCAGCGGTTGGATGTTTTTTAGGTTTTTTTTACACATCCCCCATCTGGATCCCCTCAGTGAACTCGATGACGTGTAGCAGACACGAGGCAGAGACTTATATAATGAAGAAAGACTGTTGTGAAATCAATATTTGTTTGTTTCATCTGCTGGTTTGCAACATGAATAAAATAAGCCAAGACAAAGAGGGTGTGGTTTTTATCAATATATTTGAAACAAAAATATTTACAAAATAAATAACAATGAAGCACAGCAGGCTCTGTAAGTAGTCCAGCCATTTCACATTCATTGAAAATAAGTCATTTAAAATGTACAAAAGTTCAGGCAAAGACCAAAGGCAGTTTGTACATATAAAAGAACACAGAGAATAACAGGCTGCCCTGTGCGCAGCAGGCACGCCGACGCTCCAGCCTCTGATTCAGAGTTACAGACAGCGTCTAGGAAGTACAGACAGTGTGGGTCACAATTCAAATGCATAGTTAGTCAGTTTGTTATGTGAGTGATCTGCTCAGATTAATGCAGATAAACACTTTGTCGGCTGCATAAATCATATGGTGGTTTTGCAAATGATGTTTATGCATCCTGGTTAAAGGTAATATGTGTAATTATTTTTGTTTGTATCTTTTTCCTGTTCTCTCGTACCTCTCTACTGTCTTATGTGCTGCTGTAATACTTTCGTCATGGGGATTTTAAGAATATTTTTCAATCTCCTGTTTATGCTTTACAGTTATGATGCTTCAAAAGCACCTTTATTACTGCAACATGCTTTGTGCATTTGTTCATTGCTAAGTTAATCCCTTCAGACAAATACAAAGCCCTATGCAATGCTTATTACCAGCAAGCAGAGCTCAGTTACAAACAGAGCAGCTTTTACAACCCACATATATTAATCTGGGGTTTTCTTCTTATATAATTTAACATTTTTAAGATGCTCTTTCAGAGTGCAGGAAAATCAAACATTGAAAATAGGTAAAAATGACAGGAACACACAAAGGTTTGCAAAATCACAATGCTCAACCCAAAATAAATAAAGAAGAGGAGAACACAAAAAATGACATCTTGAGGTAAAAACATGCAGGATCGAATTAAAGTGTGCTTCATGTCTGCAAAAAATACAATGAGTCCTCTTCCTCTTGTTGCCATGGTAAACTATCTCAAGTCTCTCCAGCGTTGGGCACCGTCCCTCTGGCCTACGTTGGGCAAAGCACTGTAATAACAGGAGAGATTCATATTAGAACGATGGAGCAGGAGTGCACCTTCAGAATGAGGGGATCAGCACAAATTACAACTGGGAGAAAAAGAAAGGAAAAACAAAAGGAAAATCTAAATATAAGGACACCAGTTAGTGCTGATGACCTATTTCTGAAGTAGGGGGTGAGGAAACATCCTGAAATCACAGCAATGCTAGGTGGCTAATGATCATTAAACTGTGTCTTAAATGTGAACTGCAGGGTGAATCGACATTTTGTGTGACAGTGGGTTGTGACATTAAGAGGGATCAACCATGCTGCAGCAGTCACTGTGTGGAGAGGGGGGGGTTAAAGTGAAAGGACAACACCAGGGTCAGACTGCACTACAGTTCAGTGGTAGAGAGGGGGCGCTCTCCCCATGTGAGTGAGACAACCACAACAGTGCACATCACATGTGAAACAAACCTCTGCATCCATCGCTCACACCAGAGCTGGTGAGGCGGAGATAAGTTAGGACATGAGAAGTAGAGAAAGAAAACATGAAAGAATGAAAGCAGAACATATGTGAAAGGAAGGACTAAGAAAACATAAAAGACGGAGGGCAAATGTTTTCAGCAGGAAGTACTGAAGGACCGAATTTCACAATAAAGTTACTCTAGTTACTCAGAGCCGAATATTAAGAAATGCCTTTTTAACAGCAGCCATTTTACAGGTGTAATTGATCAAATGAATAACTTCAACAGCTGTTACAGAATAAATAGAACAGGATCATAATTATTTTGACAACAACAAACATATAAAAGTGGAACCTTGTTGCTGCAAACTGTCAAATGTTGCTGTGTCTTTCAACGCTCCCACATTAACTGTTTAAATAGAAGTTCTTGCTTTCAACTGCGACAAGCAGACTTGACTTGTTTTTTTAAATGATTTGGGGATTTTTGCAATACACTCTTTATTGAGATATGGGAAACACAATCTGTATAACAACATGTGATAACATGGAAAAAATAAAGATGAAGTATACCATTTTTTAGTTGTGACATTCATTTGTCATTCTCAACATCATTTATAGTGCAGACACACAAACGAGAAAAGCTCACCTTTAAGAATATAGTCTGTTAAGAGACTGGGCACCTTGTCACTGTCGTCTCTCATAGCTTGTAAGACTGCAAGGCAGAAGAAACAAAGGAGTGAATGGATCAATCACAGACACTAGAACTCAAATACTGCTGGTGCAGATAAAGAAACGTACTCTTTGTCAGGATCTCGAGGTCCTCAAGGGAGGGTGGGTGTCCCTTTTTCTCGTATGGGATGACTGTGGTCAAATACTGTAAAGAAACATAAAACAGAGCGAAAGACAAATAGATGAGACAAAGTTTCTGTAGATGATGTTTCTGTTGGATGAGATTCCTATCAATGTGTTTATATTCTGTGCAGAAAACAGGAAGATAAAGTTCGGCAGATGAGAGGGAAAGGCAAAGGAACCTGTCTTTCACTGCACCCGCTCCCAAAAGTTTGCCGGAAGCTGTTCTGAATGACAGAGGAGATTCCCTCCACGCTGAAGCGCTGAGGAGGAAGGAAGTAAAGCAGGGAAATATAAGACAAAGTAAAAAAGAAAAGGTTTCAGGAAAATACAGTTTGTTTGGAGAAGAAAAACTGAAGACATCCCGTGATTATGAAGGAGCAAAACACTCACTGATCCCTGGTTCTTCTCTGCGTGTCCCTGCGACGTCCCGGCTCCTGCTTTAAGCTTCTTCTTCCTCTTCTTCAGCAGCTCCCGATGCTCCTTCTGTCGGTTCTGTACATCAATGAGCGCTGAGATGAAGCTGTTCTTCACCTCCTTCTCAAAGTCCAGCTCGTCCCTGAGAGCCAGCTGCAGAACCAGCTCCTCTGAGAACATCCTGATGGTCGTCTCCGTCTCCTCCAGACGTTCATTCAGCTCCGCGACACTCAGGGACCTCACTCCTGGACCACAAACAAACAAAGAGAAAACACACAAAACACAGCTGTTGTTTATGATTCTGATCCTTCATTCATCAAAAAATAGAACGATTAAGGGTCGCAGTGCAATTTATGACACCGCACCATCATGAATCCATCACATTTTTATGACACGAGAGGATAAGCTTTATTTTAGCTTTGTCAACAAATCTGATGAAAAGACCAAAATCAACAATGAGTACGTTTATCTCTCAACAATTTCCCATATCCCCGTATTTGTTGTGGATTATTTCGTATTAATAGAAAATACAGGATGTGCTTGGGAGTATTTATGCTGCAAGACAGAGTTTGTGTTATTGAGTCAAAATAAACTACAGTGCCTAGATTATTGCAATAAAGGAACATGTCACCCAGTGTAACAGTGTGGCTTGTACTATATACTGATACAATTACATCAGTATGGTATAAAAGGCTGCAACATAATGGTTACTTTGTACTTATAGCAGACCACAATAGCATGTCTCATTATACTGTATATATTACTGATGTTTTGTCTCAGCCCAAAATGGACACTCACTGGACTCGTAGCTGGGGCTCCTGGTGCAGCGCTGGACGTCCAGAGAGAGCATCGAGAGGTCTGACTGAGAGGGGTTGTGGCCTGCCTCCATGTCAGGAGAGTCCTGCATCATCTCCTCTATCTCCTCGATAACCTGCACAAAGAAAAGACACACACATCAGAGAGGCAGCACTCATCTGTTATGAAATCTCCTTTTCAGCCATGTTAAGCTGCAGCTCTGTACTCCTACACTTGATACAGTGTGGCTGCATCTGGGAAAAGTAACTCACTTGCTCGGCTGTGAAAAGCGGCTCGTCTGCAAGGGAGGAGACGATGATGGAGTGCATGTCCAGCTGCTCCCTCAGCTCCTCATCGTCCGACAGCTCTACCGTGACATCAGTCTTTCTCTAGCCGGGAAGGACAGGGGGAGGGAATTTAATCAGAAACGCTAAACCCTGGCACAATACATATTCGAGATTTGCGAGATAAACAGAAAATAGATTTGGGAGGGTAGGAGTGCTGGTGTTGAAGGGAAAGTGGGACAGAGAAGGGAGGTGGGGGAGTCACTTACGGGCTTCTCCTCCAGGTTGTATGAGGGTTTGTGGAGGGAGCATGTTCGGGACTGTTTCCAATCCACCGGCATCACATGCCCATAGTTACTGGTTAAAACCTTCCAGATTCTTTGGAGAAATAAATAATAATGTCAGTCCAAAAAGCCAAATTATACTGACAAAATAACAGATCAATTTACTGGTAACGGGGAGAAAATAACACCCAGACTTCCAAAAATGTACAAACTGGGGGTTTTACCAGGTACAAGGGGATTGTATTACAATTATTTATTTATTTGTGTTTTTTTTTTAATGAAACATTTTATGGAAGGACTAACAGTAAGGATGTATTTAATAGCAAACGTAAACAAATACTGACAGCAAAAATAAGTAAGAATGATCGGATCAAACTACTGCTCTTTTATTGGAGCACTTAATCACTCCAGTATCTCTTTATTATCAAGACTTTCTATTATTATGGAACACATACCTACATTTCTAGTACGGGTATGGTATTGACTGTATGTACACACAGGCCCTACATAACTTATTTTAGACATCGTCCACAAGTGCCACAATCAGACCAATACAAAGTAATTGTCAATTTGAAATGCCTTTGATGATGACATTTAAAATCCTGAAGCTAGTGACATATACAAAAAGTTCATATTTTGTTTTTGTACTCTACACACATCAAATAATTTCCTTGGAATGGCAGTGTGCTTATATCAATTTTTAAAACGATTTCTTTATATTGAAATGCCCGAACAGTTTCCTGATAAATGACTTAACAATTTAACACTCAACACATTCATTTCCTATCAATCAATTGACCGATTAATTGACTGGCTCCCTCAGTTGATTTGAGTGTGTTTCTGGAAAATAGACCAGGAGCTATATTTTAAATATCGGCTGCCAAATTAAAAATAAGAGCCAATACACATACATATTGGTAAATATCTGTTTGTAAAGCCATTTAGGAGCAGATGCCAATATCATTGCACCTGTTAGGATCAATGTGTAATGGGTTTGTTATTACACTGGTAGAGCAGACCTATGCCCTGAGTTTTGATGACTTGACAAAAGATGGTGGCAGTCTAGCTGTCATTAGAGCCCCATTACATCATTATGAGACGGTGTAACAATGTGTAATACTCCTGATCTAAGAAAATAAATCCCATGGCAGACAACATAACATTGTATGCTTTTTAAAATGCAGCCTGCAGCGTTGAGTAAAAGCCTTAACATCCACTTATTATTAAAATCAACTAGCCTGCGGACAGGCCGGAAACAAAACCACTCACTCGTCTTTCTCCAGCAGGGACTCCTCTGTTATCACACTCACAGGAGCGATGCTGTCTGTATTGGCGTTAAAATTCTGGAAGCACACGGATAACTTATCGTCAAAATCGTTCACAAGATCCTCCATAGACCTGAAAGAACCGGTTTCCCCCGGGGAGAAGCTGCCGTCCTGCAGATCGGGGATATCATCATCACCCGGGAGGAGCAGCCGCGGCGCTGCTCCCCCCGCAGAGGCGCTCTCTACTCGGCCTTTCTGCGGCAGCTGCAGCCGCTGGTCTGAAACCATGCTCAAATCACCCAATATCGGCCAGTCTTCGTCGAAATGTGCGATGGGTGCAGCCATAGCCCGGACGAGCTTAGTAGCCCCGGGTTAATGATGGATGTGTGGTGGGACAGGCAGGTCTCAGCATCCTCTCTGAATGCCCGTTCACTCCCCACCGCCAGCGGGCTGACCCGGACAGTATGGCGGCACCGCACCGGGCCCACTAGTGGCTACACGTTACCTAACAGAGGACCGTGAACGCATCAGGAGAGCTATTCACATTGTTTACATATATAAATTGTTACATTTGAGAATAATTCAATGTTGTCCCTTAAAATGTTTTTGTTAAATCACAAAGTTTTGCTTGTTTCATGCAAAGCAACTAAACAAGACAATCCTTAACCAGTCATACAAATGTAACTGAAGACAAATGTATGCACTGAAATTGGGTCTTTACATGCAGAAAGTTGTATAATTATTATATATATCGATGTTAGTTTCATGTCATATTGTTCCAACAAAACATCTTAAAACTTTAGTCCCAACCGGTCCCAACAAAGCCACATTGAATAAAAGATAATTGTGAAATATAAACAGCGCCCCCAGTGGATGAAATATGTATTACCTCATTCTACAATATCAGCTGCCCGCTTTGTGTTGCTAATGGTAACGGACTCCAAACAAAGTGAAAACGGACAGGATTGTGAAGAGGCTGCACTCGAGAAAGTGTGAGATATTTAGGGTTAAGAGTTTACCTGCAGTTCCTGACCAGGTAAAATGAGCTCACCTTTGTCGATGCTGAAGAAAACGAGGCGCACTCCACTGCAGAGCCCTCAGAATGAGCAATGGTATACGTTTATTTACTGTGAAACAACAAAGAAGAACTAACGACAGTTCACTTTAAGTGTGCCACTGTGAAGAGGTCATAGAGAGCATGTGTACATTAAACTGTCTTTCACCTGCAGGGGAGGACAAAAAGTGCCTTTCAGGAGGAATCTCATAAAGGGTAGGTTTCAAGTGAAACCTGATCGTTACATAAAGGCATAATAACACTGTACTGACACGTAACCAAAGCAGAAATGTACACCAGGTTGTAAGGAAGTATTTCTGTAATAATAATAGCCCACTGTAAACTGATTTGATTAGAAGAAAAAGTCATACATTGTGCATCAAGTTCTCTAATTTGTAAGCTGCACCCTGAAAACTTTGCTATTTTCTTTTATTAAAGAAATGATGTTCTCTCATTTATGAACTGATTAGTCAAATAAATGCTTTAGCTCTTATTACTGTTAGACAATGACGTAATTGAGTCAATGTACAAAACTCTGGTTATCACATTACTCTTACAAGATGATCATAGACTTCATGATGTTTTTTGGTTTTGGGTCTGTTTTATGTCCAGAATTTCAGACAGCTTTGGCTGATGACGATGAATCCTCTGATGTCAAACCTTCCTTGACCTCTCACACGGGAGCCAATGATGCCTCCAATTCAAAATCAAAAGCCCCATTAAAGAAAGGTAAAAGTTATTACAGAGTTTTGGTTCCACAGCAAAGCATGTCTTTTATTCATTGTTCAAATGTACACTTTCAGGTAAGTATATTAATTTAAAAAACAAGTTTTAAGAGTCTAAAGGATGCTTTCACAGGTAGTGCACCAAGCGACTTTGAGCTGATGTCTGCCATGATGCAGCGGGTGAGCATGCTGGAGAAAACAGTGATGAGCCAGGCACGGGAGATCGAGAGAAAGGTGAAAACACACACCTCCTCCATAGCAGTAGCATTACAAAACAGATCTTTCAAACATGTCCAAATGACTAACTCCTTTTCTTCCAATGTCTCCTTTAAGGATGAAAGGATTTCAGCGTTGGAGAAAAATCAGAGGCTTATAAAAGAATCAGGTAACGGGAAAATACCTAAATTCGATATTCCCTGAATCTCTAAATAATAATAATAATAATGCATTTTATTTATATAGCGCTTTTCACAACTCAAAGACGCTTAAATAAAAAACGCTTAAATAAAAGTAAAAGTCTGATCATATTTACATGTTGCTTTTTTATGTATGGCTTTAGAGGGTACTCTTCATCCTTGTGGCAGAGATGATCTTGAGAGAAGATGCCAACAGCTGCAAAATCAAGTGCAAGAAATGGATGTAAGTGTGTTTAATAAAAGCCTTCAGTTATATGTTAATATTTTTTGATTACAGCATATTACATTATGCTGATTCAAACTCTTACAGAGCTTTCTGAATGACTATGGTTTGATCTGGGTGGGAGATGGTGAGAGCAGTGACTCTGCAGAGAGTGAGCAGCCACATAACTTAGAGCGAGGCCTCTGGCAGCCAGGTATACTTACATTTCCTTCCTTAACATTTAAATTCAAAATAGTTGAAATATCACCATACCTTCTACCTGAAATGATTACTAACATGCTGGGTGTTTTTCCTCTGCAAGACACATCTGTGGTCAGGAGCTTCCACATGAACGTTGACCTGGTGCTGCAGAGGATCAACGAGCTGAACATCCTGGCAGGAGAGGGAGAGTGTTTCGTTCAATCCACATCCAAGGGGGCACACTTAGCAAAAAAGGACCCTGTTCAGCTGAGTCTCTACAGCAACGGCATTGTCATGTTTGACGGTCCTTTCCGCTCGTATCAGGAGCGCAGCACCCAGGTTAGATTAGACTATAAATAAAGTCGCTCAGAAGATATTTTGATATTTTAACCTGGATTCTTTGGTGAGTCAAATCCTCTTATCTTTGGACTTTGCAGCGGTGCATGCAAGATCTGATGGACGGGTATTTTCCATCTGAGCTTCAAGAAAGATTTCCAGACGGTGTGCCTTTTGAGGTTTGTTTTTATTTGATTGCAAGCTAAATGTGAAGGACTGCAGCTAAGAATTATATTCACTAGCAATTATTATCCCAATTATTTGAAAGGTTTGGTTTTGTTCTATGAGATGTCAGAAATAGTGACAAAAGTCTGTTCCTTTTTGCAACTTTTTTTGCAGGTTAATGACCGGCGAGATGAGGATTTTATCACCAGGCTACCGTGGAAGAATTTTCCAGGCGAAGGACAGGCTGTCCGTGGGGAGAAAAATGAAACATCCAATATTGTCAGCTCTCAGTTACCTGGTCCGTTCTGCACACATCACACCAATGCTACCAAATACAGACCTGAGGTGGCTCTCCTCAGTCTAAATGTGCTGTTTTCTTCTGACCACAGGCAAGAAATTGAGCGTGGATCAGTTCCTGAGCAGGTTACCAAAGGCAGTAGTGAAGGCCAGCCGTGTGGTTGATATTAGGGACTCCCTGAGGGCCGCCCTGCAGGTGATCATCAAAGATACCTACAGAAAGTGTTAGCAGCTATATATCTTGTGTGTTTAACATATAATCACTACAGCGCACTCTCACCTGCTGTGCTTATGCTGAAAGAACACTCACGTCAATATGATCATTATCTAACAAGTGCTCTCACCAGGGTTCATCTCCTGCTGGGAGCAGCAGCTCGATGATCCTCATAGACACGCCGGCCCTGCAAGCGATGAAGGAGAGGTATTTAAAAAGATGTCCTCCATTATGTAAGCACATTGATATTTGTAATATGTCTAGAACATTTTGTTGGCATTACCATCTTAAGAAAAGGCAAAGATGTTAAAGGGATTACTAGATCCAAGAACATACTACATGATGTAAAGGCCGATTGAAATACTGATTTGGCCGCAACGTCTGATTGTCAAGGTTACTGTATGCACTGCATTGGAAAATAGGTCAGGTCAGCGCCCTGGTAGAGGAGCCTCAGGCCAGTCTGGGTCACTCGTGCTGCATCAAGTGGGTTTGGAATTGTATGCCTTGGACTGCAGCTGGGTTGACCTGCATCTGATGAATATTAAACAGTTGTTTTTCCCTCTAGACTGCAGACTTCCAGCTCCGATCGGCCTCGTTCCCCCTGTGATGTCATCACAATGAAAGTGAAGTCAGAAGACGGGAATCATACTTACGTACTGAAAATGAGCTTCTCAGAAACAATCGGTCAGCTGCGACAGTATCTGGACAAACACAGGTGAGTCCTTGCCCTCCTGCACTGACACAGTATCTTCTTGTCTTTACAACATCTCTTAACACATCCATGCATGTGACATTTGGATTATTTGCATTACAGAGGGGGTGGTCTCCCTGGTTATGACATCATCAGTGCATACCCACAGCACCGCTACGATGAGGACCGCCAGACGCTCAGATCATGTGGCCTCACGACTAATGCTTCTCTGATGCTGCGAAAGAGGCAGAAACCGCCTCATTCACTCAGTGAAGTCAATAAAATAAGATTATAAAAGATGAGGTATCAGCCTTTACCGCAGCAGAAATGTTGGCTTGTCATAGAAAAACACAGCTGTTGAATAACATTAATGTTTGCTTTGTTTTATGTAAGCAGTAAGAAGGACAGTGAACCAGCACGCAGCCTGACCCCCGCCTAGGATGTTACGTAACATGAGGACAGGGTGTCTCCAAAATGGGTGGTCCCGCGTGACTGAATGCATGTAACTAACACCGGAAACAGATTATTTTTCACTGGCAAAGGAAACAGTATGAGTAATAGATCACGTCATGGCCCTGCTCATAAAATACTTTTCACGGCTGATACAAATCCAGTATATCGGATAAGTGCATCATTAGTTAGAAAGCTGGAACTCGTGGCTTTCTGCACAGAAGGGATGAAAATACTTTAAATGTTTTACGCCAAATCAAATAAAAGTTAAAACACATGGCAAAATGTTGAAAATCTTTATTTCTAAAATATGCAAATACAAACAAGGACAAAAGTATGAAAATATAAACATCTTTTTCCCTTTTTGCTAAACGTTTGAGATGTTAAGGCATGCGGAGCCGGACTTTCCAAAGATATAACTTGTGCTACTCAAGTTTCTAAAAAAGGTCCCATGAAATGAAAAATGGCTTGTGTGTCCCTGGGTGGGTTGATCTGTATCACTTGTCAGAAAAACTCATTGTTGCATATGTTTATATATATATATATATTTATATATATATATATATCCTGTAAAGTGTCAAGCTTTTCTTTTTTAATGGCTTCTCCTGCACTCAGGGCAAATATAAAACTCCATCCAGTACAATGTGATGGGGGATTTGGGGGTGAACCAGCCAACCCCTCCCATCATCCTCACATGGGATTAAAACATTCTTGGACCTGAAGAAGCTAAAGATCCCTTAGTGACCGCTGACAATCATTAGCCATCAGACAACTCGTTAAAAAAAACACCACGGGAGAAAATGACAATCTGATGGCACTTCATGGGACCTCAAGCTCAAACACATTAGCACATTATTACAGCAACGCATTAGGAGGCTTTTACACTGAGTTGTCAATGCAAACAATACAAAATAAATAATACTGAAGATTAATACTGTTTCTCAGTCACACATTAATGAAACAGTTTCCCACTCTGTCAGCCATTATCAACCTGAAATATACAGAAACCTTTGTGGGCAGATAATCACTCAGACTAAAGAGTTATCTTTATCTACCAGGAACAAAAAAAAGACATTCTAAAAAGGGCCTCCACAAGCTCTGTGAGTTTTCCCAAAGTGATCTGCTACATTCAGAGTCAGGGAATGTATTGAATATCCCACTGGTTGATACGCTGAGAGAAAGGTCATATTGGAAGAGTCAGCTGCAAACAGCCCTTTGTGGTTGGTCTAAAATGAACTAGCATTGCGACAGAAAGGCACATGTTGGTGTTCATTCAGAACGAGGCCTGCAGCAGAGGGAAGCGCTCACAAACATTCACAGACTTGCACAACTGCTCTGACCAGAGTTTCTTTGGTAATAAAACGGTTGTAGGCTAGTTGGTGTGAGAAGCTGTTTTGGTTTTAAACCCTTCAGTATCAAGTCCAATACCTCACAGCAGAGTCTAATGTTACAGCATTGGCCATTTTAAATAACGGCATGTTGGAAACATTCTCTTGTAAATCTTGTTAAAAGCACAGGTTAAAATATTTCAGTTGATTGTCAACCACTTCTTTTTAATTCCCCCGGAGAGGGAAATTAAAGTTTTAAATAAATTAGATTTGTGGGACTTCTACACAAATAGCTAATGAAACAAAAAGTATAAGACTGTTTGGTAACTGACAATATTCATGTCATCATTAAAAACACACACAAAATGCTTAAGGATCAAGTATTAGAGGTAAGTTATTTTCCGTTAGCCCTTGGACTGAAATAGATGAACTCACCGGAGGGATGGGAGGATTCTGAGACAGTCAGTCGAGAGAAGAAGAAGCTAAACCATTTGGGCTTTCCTTTGTCCTCATTTAATGAAATTGGAAAATCCAGTTCTCTTTGTGACATTCAGTAACGAGTCATGAAAAACGAGCCCGCTTCAGAGGGGAAGGGGAGAAGTGTCACCTGGGTGGGTTAGGGTTACTGGGTGATGCAGTTCTCTCCCATGTCCTGCGCGTACCGGTCCAGTATTACATTGCGTAGTTCCTCCACGTCTCGACGGAGCTGCTGAGCTTCGACCAGCTTTTTCTGCAGTACCTCTGGATTCATCCAGTCCTGGTCCAGATGGGTCACTGGAGGGGGCGCTGGAAGAATAATCATCATTAATCTCCTTATCATTGAAAGATATCTGAAATAAAGTTATATTTTGAGAGGATCTGTACCAAACAAATATAATTAAAAAGGTTCCCAATTATACTCTCTCAACAATATATTATAGGTCTCAGATATATACAAAACATGTCTGAAGTGTTTGGCTCCAAACACCAAACAGATCATTGTAGCATCCCATAATCCCCTCTGTTTCAGTCCCGTTTCAAAAGTGCTGATTCTCTGTCTGTTACTTTAGATGAAAATAAGGAGCTACTCCCCACGCCCCTCTGAGAGATATGTGACCCGCTCTATCGAAATCAGTCGGAAGTCGCAACGGCTCATTTCAAAATAAACGTGGATTTGCGTAAAAAAATAGTTTTTCGGGGTTCGGTGTGTTTTGTTAGATTTT